CAGAAGTTCAATGAATTTCTTGAATTGCCTTACATTTTTAGACTTATCAAATCTTTGAGGATATGGAATAGGTAGTTTATAGGGTGGCGGAGGCACATAAGGTTCTTCTTTTTCCACGGCCTCTTCATCACCTTCTTTTTCTACTTCCTTCGGTTCAGCTTCTTTCTCAGTTCCTTTTCCACCTTTTGGTACATGGCTGGGTTCTCGATTCTAGGTTCAGTTGGTCCGCCTAGTTATGTCCCACTCTGAAGTGTTATGGCATTAGCATGTCCCTTTGGATTAGGTTGGGGTTGTCCAGGAAAAGTTCCAGCTGGAGTATCTGTAGCTGCTTGCTATTCAGCCACTTGGGAAATTTGTATTTCTAACATTTTGTTGTGCGTGGAAAGAGCGTCAATCTTATTTGTCAATTGCTTAATTTTCTCGCTGGTGTGAATATTTTTGATTCATGAAATCTTTATTAGTTTGAGCTTGGGTGGCTACAAAGTTTTCTATCATTATTTCAATGTTGGACTTCCTAAGGATGTTCGGAATAGTTGAGACATTTTGGGTGGCTTTCTGAAATCCTGGGGGTGTAGTAGGAGCTTGCCCTGGTGCATACAAAGCATTGTTGCTTTTGTATGAGCAGTTTGGATGGTTCTTCCAAGCAGGGTTATAGTTATTTCCATTGGGGTTTCCTTGAGCATAATTCACTTGATCAACTGGTACTCCTGTTAAGAGTGGACATTCGGGTGCATTATGCACGTGAAGTCCGCATAAATCACAGGTTGAAGTTACTACAGCCACGATGGCTGTGGGAGTTGTGGTCAAGCTTTCTATCTTTAGGGTAAGAGCTTCTACTTTGGAGTTAACTTGGTCTAAGCTACTAACTACGTACATACCGCCTTTCGTTTGAGGTTTCTCCATCATGGTTCTATCGCTTCCCCACTGATAATGATTTTGAGCCATACTTTCGATAAGTTGATAGGCATCGTGGTATGGTTTATCCATCAGTGCACCGCCAAAAGCTGTGTTAATCATTAGTCTTGTGTTGTACAAGATACCATTGTAAAAGGTATGGATGATCAGCCATTCTTCTAGACTGTGATGCGGACAGAGTCGCAACATGTCTTTGTATCTTTCCCATGCTTCAAAAAGAGATTTTCTTTCCTTTTGTTTGAAACAGTTGATATTAGCATAGCCGTCTTACTCGGCGGAAAATATCGCGCTAGGAAAACTTCAATTCATTCCATGTGGTAACGGAGTTGGATGGTAGAGACTGGAGCCATGCTCTAGCTCTATCTCTTAATGAGAAAGGAAAAAGACGAAGTCTTATTGCTTCAGGGTTGACACCATTTCCTTTCATTGTGTGTGCGTACTGCACAAACACGGATTGATGAAGATTTGGATCGTCCGCAGGACATCCTAAAAATTGGTTTTGTTAGACAGCTTGCAATAACAAAGGTTTTAACTCAAAATCATTTTGTGCGATAGCGGGAGCAGCAATACTGTTGTGGGGTTCCTCTTGCGATGGGGCAGCATAATCCTTCAGAGGACGATTTTGGGGTCCTTCAGCCATTCTTGGGTCAGGAAGGGAATAACTAGGAACATCGAATTCGGGAAGATTGTACTTGGCTTGGTACTCTCTAATTCAGCGTCTTATATTAACAAAATGCTCGACCTCGTCGATTGGTTGCTCTAATTCTTCTCCTTTAGAGCAAGTGCTTGTCATACAATCAACGAATAAAATAAAATTGGTTGCCTTAGTCTATACTGTGTAACAAGGGATTTACAGTATTTACTAAATCAGTCCCCGACAACGGCACTAAAAACTTGATCGCGACTTTATGAGTCTATCGGGTGTAGTGACTGCAAGTGCACAGTCTTATCGTGTAGTTTTAAAAGATATCGAACCCATAAAGACTGGTGGTCAAACTACTGTTATCTTAGGGTCACTGCGTAAAGCTAAGGCTAATTATAAAATTTGGATGTTTGGGTTTAATCGAGAATTAAAATCTAACAATTAATAACGGGACACTTGTATGTAGTTTGTCAACTTCATGGGTTCAATAAGTCATTGGTATTTATTTTCAGTAATAAAACACTATTTCAGAGGAAACTATTTATTTAAAAACCCTCGTCTCACACTTTCGTTCTATCGATTCAGGTCATATTATTAAACTCAAAACGAGCGTTCTCGCTTGTTTCATTTTAAAATTCAAAAGTATTTTTTGAAAACAATTAGAATCCAATTAATTTTAAAGTGCTCTCGTTGTTTTTAAAATTAATGTTTAATAACCACTATCTGGTTAAAACCTCAAACTCTCGTTGTGCTGATTTTAACTTTAGATTGTCTTTTACTTTCGTACAAAAACAATTAAATATTCAAATTGGAAATTAAAACCAGAAAGTGCTTTTGTAAAAAAATATTAATGTCAATTATGACTGAATCCCTTCGGTTAAGATTTACATACCAGTATCGGGGAATTTAGCCAGACATAACTTTATTGCAGGACAACATAAAATTAAAACATAAATTTAATAACTGATGCATGGTAAGAACAAATAAATTATACTTTAAAATAGGTACATGTAATTAAATATTGAAGCAAATAATATGAGCAGTGTGTATCCCCCATAAGCCGACAGGATTGACTTGTACAAAATATCTTGAATTAAATAAAACAGACCTAACGAATCCTAGAAGCTACTGAAAAAAAACTAAGGTTGCAGTATCCCTCTAATATGAAGAAATACTGCTTTAATGGTGCGGTTTTCACAAGAATTCTACGAAACTGGAAAATAGAGTACTAAAAACTATGAAACTGAAAATAACAGTAAGTTTGCAAAAATTGGAAATTAATAGCAATTACAGTACGTAGAAAATAATGAAAATGGTGCAAAAGTCTGGACCCGAACAATGTTGGTAACTACCTCCTTTTATAGATTCCAAGCATGAGTGAAAATAGGAGCTACATCCTAGATTCTCGTTCTTCCATCATGGAGAAGAATCCGCCAACTATCTGTTTCGTCCACTTCGTGGAGAAAATGTTGTAACAGTTATGTGAGTCGTGGCGAGCATCATGTGCGTTGTGACGTGGGGGACATATCCTCCAACTGTCCCGATCGTAACATAAACTGTGTCAAGGGTAACACTTTTACAAGCTGTGATGGGCGGGACACGCCTGTGGCGGGCAGAACGCCTTCTGGTGCAGAATGCTCTAAAATACTGCTAAATGGCCATTTCTCCATTGTTTTTCTTCCTTTTCTCATTTATGTCTTGCAAAAGCTAAGTACCTGAAATATACTGCAAATACTACAAATATAGATAAAATGTGACATAATAAACGAATAATCGTAAGTTTAATCTATGTAAATCGGGCGAAAAATGCTATATCTTTTCGTGTTATCAATCAGGTTCCGGAAAACTTCAAGTCCCCGATGTGTTCGTCAAACGATGGGAAATCTGATCCCACGAACATATCATTGCTATCACAACATGATGGCAATCATCAGGGATATTGATTCATTAAAGTGAAAGCTAATGGCTGGAAGTTTCAAGGAATCGACTTTAAGGTGGTATATGGGCCTTTCGAGACGCTTCGTCGCCAGTTACCAAGATTTCACCAAAAAGATGGTCCAACAGTTTTCTGCAAGCCAACATGGGAAGTTGTCCACAACAACACTATTCAATGTTCGCCAACTCCAATCGGAACCCTTGAGGAATTACATGACACGGTTCAACGAAGAAACTATAAAGGTCTCTCACTCCAATCAAGAGATCTTTGTAGCGGCTTTTCAGCACAGTCTTCGGGCCAATCACTTCAATGAATCGTTGGCCTAGAAATCGGCCACCAGCATGGATGAGATCATCACTTATGCAGAATGTTACGTAAAAGGAGAAGAAAGCAACATGGAAAAAAGAACCAAAGACGCTAAAGAAAGAGGAAGGCCCCGGGAAAAGCTCCCTTACCAGCCATCCCGACGACCCTTAGTTTCGGACGCAACTTTCACCCTTCTGGCTACCAAAAGGGAAGATATTTGGAAGGACATGAATCATCTCAATCTACTACCCAGACCTTGGCGTCCCTCGGGCGTCAACGTAATCCTAGAGGATGACGCTGACGCCTGGTGAGCATATTATCGGATTCGCGGACATCACACCGACAACTGCCAACAGCTGAAGAGAGAAATCGAGAGACTCATTCAAAGGGGAAAGTTATCGTCCTATGTGAAAGGAAATTATGAACACTCTAGAAATCGAAAACCCCCCAGAGGCGAAGGCGACCCGGCGAGCCCCTTCAAAGAAGAAGGAAAAAGCAAAAGAAAAAGTGTGAGAAGCACAGCTAACCCGACATACCCTCAACATTATACCGGGAGGATTTGCCGGAAGAGGCTCCACCAGTTCAGCGAGAAAGAGATATGCCTGAAACACAATGCTCGTGGCCCAAGTAGAATGGACGGACAAGAACCAAGATCCTGGTACTGTCACATTCTCATGAGAAGACGCAGAAGAAGTATTGCCTCATGAAAACGATCCCATTGTCGTCAAAGTCAAAATAAGAGACTAGAGTATCAAACGGGTGCTGATAAACCCAAGAAGCTTGGCCGACGTCATGTACTGGGAAGCCTCCAAAGGAATGGACTTCGAATCGAAAGAACTATTACCATTCAATAGAACAGTAGTTGGATTCTTGGGAGAACAGGTACAGGTCCTCAGACACCTCCTTGCTCTAACCGTGTTCGGGACGAAAGAGAATGCCAAAGCAGTCAGAGTATGATATCTTATCGTTAAAGCATCGTCTCCTTACAACATCATAATCAGGAGACTGTCATTCAACGCGCTCGAGGAAGCATTATCAACCTTGTACCTCACTATGAAGTACCCCCTCAGCGAGGGACGAGTAGGAATGATGCGCAGAGACCAGGGGTTGGCGCGTAAATGTTATAAAGACAACTTGAAATTAAAGAGGAGGGTTGTGATTGCGGAAGAAGAAAGTGACCACAAAGTCAACGTGATCGATATGGATTCAAGGGAGGATCCTATGGAGGACAATCTAACCCCCCGGGAAGAGACAAAGGAGGTCCAGATCGGATCCCTACTCTCAAAGATCGCCTACCTAGGAACCAATCTTTCACCAAAGGAAGAATCAGAGATAGTGGATATCTTGAAGAAAAACATTGATTTATTCGCCTGGAAACCATCTGACATGCCCGACATAGATCCGAACATTATGTGTCATCACTTGGTACTTGATATCGGGGTAAGGCCGGTAGCCCAACATAAAAGGAAGGGTGGCGAGGAGAAAAGAAAAGCCATAATTAAAGAGGTAGATAAGCTGATGAAAGCATGATTCATATGAGAGGTCAAGCATCATACTTGGCTACCCAGTGTGGTGATGGTTAAGAATAAAACCGGGAAGTGGAGAATGTGTGTAGATTTCACTGACCTCAACAAAGCATGTCCAAAAGACCCTTATCCACTCCCCCATATTGATCGACTAATCGGTGGGGCCTCCGAATTCAGATTGTTGAGCTTCATGGATGCTTACTCTGGGTACAATCAAATTCGCATGAACCCACTGGACGCACACAAGACCATATTCATGACTGACCATAGCAACTATTACTACGAGGTTATTCCTTTCGGTCTCAAAAATGTTAGGGCTACGTATCAAAGGTTGATGGACGTGGTCTTTGCTCCACAGATCGGACGGAATATAGAGGTATACATTAATGACATGGTGGTCAAGACCACAGAGGAGAGAAGACACGTGAAGGACCTGGAGGAAACTTTCGCAACAATACGAAGCTACAACAAGTGCTTAAACCCAGATAAATGTGTGTTTGGGGTGCAAGCCGGGAAATTCTTAAGATTCATGCTCACAAGTTGGGGAATAGAAGCCAACCTGGACAAATGTCAAACGATCATCGACATGAGAAGTCTGACATCCATCAGTGAAGTCCAACAATTAACCGATCGTTTGGCCGCTTTATCTCGTTTTCTATCTTGTGCATGGGACAAGTCAATTCATTTCTTCGCAGCAATCAAAAATAAGGCAGACTTTGAATGCAACGACGACTGCGAAAAGCCTTTCCTTGAAGTGAAGCAGTTCCTGTCAACTCCGCCTATACTGGTTCGACCCAAGGAAAATACACCTTTGGTACTTTACCTAGCCGTGTCAGACAAAGCCATCAGCTCGGTCCTAGTAGAAGATGGGGAGACCGACGAGAGGCCGGTTTATTTCGTCAGCAAGGTATTACGAGGAGCAGAACTCAGGTATCAAAAGATTGAACATTTGGCTCTGGCATTAGTAACAAAAGCAAGGAAACTCAGGCATTACTTCCAAGGCCACCCCATCCTAGTAAAAACTAACTTCCATATTAAGCAAATTCTAAAGAAGCTGGATCTGGTTGGGCGTATGGTGGCATGGGCGGTGGAACTCTCAGAATATGACATAGAGTACACCCCACGCACCAGCATAAAATCTCAAGTCTTGGCTGACTTTGTGGTCGAATTAAGCGCCCCGACAAATGAAGAATTATCCACAAGATGAGTCATATCAGTGGACGGGTCATCCAACCTGAGAGGTAGTGAAGTCGGCGTCGTACTAGAGGGACCCGGGGACTTGGTCCTAGAGTATTCATTGTGCTTCAATTTCCAAACCAGCAACAACCAAGCTGAATACAAAGCCTTGAACGCTGGAATGAAGCTATCTAAAGAAGTCGGCATCACTCACTTATTGGTCAGGACCGACTCCCAACTAATGGTCGGACAGGTACAGGGCGAATTTTAGACCAGAGATCCCATCCTACAAAAATATCTACAGCAAGTCGTTCAACTATCAGAAGAGTTTCAAGAGTTCAAGATATGTCATGTTCTCAGGGAAGAAAACGCCCAGGCCGACTTGTTAGCCCGGTTGGCTAGCACAAAGGGTTTAGGTTTGAACAAGACAGTGATCCAGGAAACACTAGAATTACCAAGCGTAGAGAAAGAAGAAGTTCTCGTGGTCAAAGAAGGAACAGGGTGAATGATTCCTATAATCAAGTACTTGCTACATGATCAACTACCATCGGACAAAGAGGAAACAAGGTGCTTAAAGAAAAGTTCAACAAGGCATCTTATTGTGGCAGACAAGCTGTATAAGATGGGAAGGACAACCACTGTGTTACGCTGCATTCCAGAAAAATACATGAGGCTAATAATCAAGGAGATGCATGAAGGTATATGCGGTAGCCACATAGGTGGTCGGGCTTTATCCGGCAGAATATTGAGGGTAGATTACTATTGGTTGACCATGCTCCAAGACTATGTTCGTTTTATAAGTCGTTGTATCAAAAGCCAAAAATATGCACCATTTATCCATACCCCGACTGAATTGCTCCATTCGGTGATATCCCCATGGCCTTTTCATCAATGGGGAGCGGATATACTGGGACCTTTTTCGGTAGCGCCAGGGCAGCTCAAATTCTTGATCGTGATCGTGAATTATTTCACCAAATGGATAGAGGCAGAGGTCGTATCGCGAATCACAACTGAAAGGGTAAGAAGGTTTTATTTGAGAAACATCATTTGCAGGTTCGGTGTACCACGGGTCATCGTCTCCGACAATAGCACCCAATTCGCCAGCACATCCATAACAGAGTTTTGCAAGGAGCTCAGCATCATCAATCGCTTCATCTCAGTAGAGTACCCTCAAGCGAATGGGCAGGCAGAATCATCTAACAAAGTGATCCTAATCGGAATGAAGAAAAAGTTAGATGAAGCAAAGGAGTTGTGGGCCGATTACCTCCATGAGATCTTATGGTCCTACCACACCATAGCTCACTCCACAACCAGTGAAACGCCATTCAAGATGGTATATGGGGTCGATGCCATGATCCCGGTAGAAGTCAGCACCCCGACATGGAGGAGAATGGGCTTTGAAGAAAACACCAACGAGGAACATCTAAACAATGAATCTGATATGCTTGATGAATCAGAGACACTGCACATATCCGAGAAGTAGCGGCCAAACAGGGGATAGCCCGACGATTCAACATGAAAGTCAAGCAAATGAGCTTTTTTAAAGGGGATCTGGTTCTAAAGAGGATCACTGATCCGGCAAAGAGGGGCAAACTCTGACCAAATTGGGAAGGACCTTTCCGAGTAGCAGAGAAACTCAGCAACGGGGCTTACAAGTTAAAGACACTAGAGGGCGTAGAAATTCCTAGGACCTGGCATGTATCTAGTCTTAGGACGTATTTCAGCTAAAAAACGTAAGCTTGTGTAATGAATAAAATAGGTGCACTCTTTTCCCTGACAAGGGCCATGGTTTTTAACGAGGCAACTCATAGAAGAACAAATAGATCTTCAATTGAAGATCACCTTTTCAGGTTCTACACCTCGGTTTACTCCGAGACCATCTCAGGTGTAACCCCCATCGACGAAGAACCTTAATTAGATTTCGTTCGGGTCTGCCTGAGGGCATTCTCTAAGGCTCTACACCTCGGATATGATCTTGAACCACTCGAGGGTAACCTTCTGGGTTGAAATTCCATGCCTAGTGGTCACTCCCCTCGTGGTACTCCTGTGTAGAAAAATATTGTTAGGCTCTACACCTCGATTCCCTCTGGGAACATCCCAGGTGTAACCCCCATTGACGAAGAACCTTAATTGGATTACGTTCGGGTCTGTCTGAGGGTACTCTCTAAAGCTCTACACCTCAATTGTAATCTTGAATTACTCGAGGATAACCTTCAGGGTGTTAGAACAAAGTTTGAATCTACTACCCTATATTTAAGTTTTGATGATAACAAAGTGAAAAGATATATTATGTATATGATTCATGTATGAACTATCTGCTGCCTAAAATTATTATGTTCTGACTTGCAGATACTCTGATTGATATAAGCAAGATCACACCTTATCAGCATCAGAATTTGGTTTCTGACATCAACATCAGAAGTTGCCATATTAGAATGTCAGAATCAGATGATCAACTCACGTACATGCTGAAGCCTGATGAACAAGACTGCGCTCAACACTCTGATAAAGAAACACAACAGTTCATCAGCAGCTAAGCAGAGTCAGAATGAGCCAAGCCAGAACTTGCATTAAGTAAGCAACGGTATTGTGCATTGAAAGCAAATTAATACCAACGGCCTCATTCCAGACAAGATCTGCTCGATAAGGAAAGTTTGTTATTAGCATTGAATCAAGAATATTGCATCCAACGTTCAACATCTCAGTGCTATATAAACAAGACTTTGAAGATTGAAATGGCTAATGCTCTCCAAATCTTTACACGCATAAAAGCTGATCAAAATCTTCTTTCTCTCAGTTTTGCTAAACACTACACATTCTGATATTCTATCATTGTTTAGCAATCTAGTTTCTAAGCTTTAATTTGTGTATACATCACAGTTGTGATACAGTTTTGTAGAAAACATTCACACACTAAGATTTGATTTCTTTGTAAGAAAGTGTTTCCTTGACAAACCGGGTTGTGGTTTGCATCAAGAAGGCTTTAGTAGTTGTTAAAGCAGTCTGTAATATTCAGTTGAATATAGTGGATTAAGACATCGTTGGAGAGAGGCGAAATCACCTTGACGGGTGGACTGGAGTAGTTTGAGATCAAACGAACCAGGATAAAAATATCTTGTTCATTGCATTAGATTTCAGTTTTACAATTCAACCCCCCCTTCTTGTGTTTTTCACTACTTCAATTGGCATCAGAGCTTTGGTTCTGAGCTAAAACACTTAACTGTGTCAGTACAAGATCCAGCGTCAGAAAAACACAATGGCAGGAAACAATTCTCACATCAGCAATGACAACAATGAGGACAGAGACAGATTCAGCGGCAAACCTCCAGTCTTTGATGGAGAAAACTTTGATTACTGGAAAGACAGAATTGAAAGCTTCTTTCTGGCACATGATGCTGATCTGTGGGATATGGTGACAGATGGATACACGCACCCTGTGAATGCAAGCGGTCAGAAGATTGATAGAAAAACAATGTCTGACCAACAAAAGCGTGACTTCAAGAATCACCACAAGGCCAGAACCATCCTCCTCAGCGCCATCTCCTATACTGAGTATGAAAAGATCTCCAACAGAGACACAACAAAGAATATTTTTGACTCACTCAGAATGACGCATGAGGGCAACGTTCAGGTCAAAGAAACTAAAGCTCTGGCGCTCATTCAGAAGTATGAGGCGTTCAAAATGGAAGAATCTGAATCCATTGAAACAATGTTCTCAAGATTCCAGATTCTGGTAGCTGGTCTCAAGGTTCTGGACAAAGGATACTCTACTGCTGACCATGTCAAGAAAATCATCAGAAGTTTACCCAAGCAGTGGAGACCAATGGTTACAGCTCTGAAGCTAGCTAAAGATCTCAACAAAATCACTCTGGAGGAACTTATCAGCTCCCTCAGAAGTCATGAGATAGAGCTAGAAGCTGATGAGCCTCAGAAGCAAGGTAAGCCTTTAGCATTAAAATCTAACAAAAAATTTGAGTCTAAAGTTTTGCAGGCAGTTGAAGAAACATCTGATGGATCCTCATCAGAAGAAGACGAACTCTCTCTCCTCTCCAGAAGAGTAAATCAACTGTGGAAGCAAAGACAAAGGAAGTTCAGGAATCCCAGAAGATCTGATCAGAACGAGTCTTCTTCCAGACACAGAAGGACAAATTCTTCCTCTGGATACAGAAGATCTGAAGGCTCCTCCAGTAGCAAAAAGCCAAACACCAAGGACATCATCTGCTATGAGTGCAATGAGCAAGGACATTATAAGAGTGACTGCCCAAAGCTTCAGAGGGAAAAGCCCAAAAAGAAGTTTGGAAGAGAGAAGAAGAAAAGTCTCATGGCTACATGGGATGACTCTGACTCGTCTGAAGCTGACTCAGAATCAGATGATGAGAGGGCAAACATAGCTCTCATGGCTAACATCTCAGAAGATAGTGAAGCTTCTGAATCAGACTCAGAATCAGATACTGAAGAGGTATTTCCTAACTTTGCTGTTAACTTTACAAAGGTTGAACTTGCTGAAAGCCTTAATGAGATTCTGGAACGGTATCAGCAAATTAGAGTTAAATTCAGAGACCTGAAAAGGAATCTTGAATCTGACTCTAATAAGACTGAGAGTCTCAAATTGGAGAATTCTGAGCTGAGAAATAAGATTTCAAAATTAGAAAACACTTTACAAAACTCTCAGAAGGAACCAATTTCTGAAACTCCCAGCAACGCTGATGAGATCATCAAGGAGTATGATCACAGTTTCCAGAAGTTCCTCGCTAAAAGCATAGATAGAAGCAAAATGGCTTCAATGATCTATGGAGTTAGCAGAAACGGCAGGAAAGGAATAGGATACCAAGGTAAGGTTCCTACACCAAAGAATGTCATGGACTTAACCATTAAACACACTCCTCTGAATTCACACTTTGTGTATGGTCACACACATGATATTAAATACACTAGCAGTAAGCACTCTGTGAAACCAAAATTCAACCAGAGTTTTGGTAAAACTAACAAATCAGGACCCAAGAAAATCTGGGTACCTAAGGATAAAATAATACATGTTGCAGATATCTTTAGCAGCAAGTCAGAAACACCAGTCATGGTACCTAGACTCTGGCTGCTCACGACACATGACGGGAAGAAGGCATATGTTCCAAAGCCTGGAACTTAAGCCAGGAGGCCACGTTGGCTTTGGAGGCAATCAGAGGGGAAAGATAATTGGCTCTGGAACTGTAGGTAATGGAAATCTTCCCTCTATTAATAATGTTCTGCTAGTAGATGGATTGATGCATAATCTGTTATCCGTAAGTCAATTAAGTGATAACGGTTATGATATAATATTTAATCAAAAATCATATAAAGTTGTTAGTCAGAAAGATGGGACTATCCTGTTTAATGGTAAGAGGAAAAACAACATCTACAAAATCAAACTTTCTGAACTAAAGAGTCAGAATGTAAAATGCCTTCTGTCTGTTAACAATGAGCAGTGGATCTGGCACAGAAGATTGGGGCATGTTAGTATGAGAAGAATATCTCAGATTAACAAACTCAATCTGGTCAGAGGACTTCCTAATTTGAAGTTCAATTCAGATGCTCTGTGTGAAGCATGTCAGAAAGGCAAATTTGCAAAACCTTCTTTTAAATCCAAACATGTTGTTTCTACCTCTAAGCCATTAGAACTTCTGCACATTGACTTATTTGGACCAGTTAAAACTGCTTCAGTCAGTGGCAAGAAGTATGGGTTAGTAATCGTAGATGACTATAGCAGATGGACATGGGTAAAGTTCTTAAGACACAAGGACGAGTCACACTCTGTGTTTGTTACCTTCTGTAACCAAGTTCAGAATGAAAAGGATCTTAGAATCGTTAAAGTCAGAAGTGATCATGGTGGAGAATTTGAAAACAAAGATTTTGAGTCATTCTTTAATGACAGAGGCATTCTGCATGATTTCTCTTGTCCTAGAACTCCCCAACAAAATGGAGTTGTAGAACGAAAGAACAGAACATTGCAAGAAATGGCCAGAACCATGATCAATGAGACAAACGTTGCTAAGACCTTCTGGGCAGAGGCAATAAACACAGCGTGCTACATTCAGAATAGAATCTCAATAAGACCTATTCTGGAAAAGACTCCATATGAATTGTGGAAGAACAGAAAGCCCAACATTTCATATTTTCATCCATTTGGATGTACTTGCTTTATATTAAATACAAAGAATTATTTGAACAAGTTTGACTCTAAAGCACAGAAGTGTATTATGTTAGGATACTCTGAACGCTCAAGAGGGTACAGAGTATACAATACAGAAACACAGATTGTGGAAGAATCAATCAGTGTTCGTTTTGATGATAAGCTTGACTCTGAAAAGTCAAAGCAGAATGAAGTTTTTGCAGGTATGGAAATTGAATTTACAGGTTCTAAAGACAAGTCATCAGAAGCTCTCAACACAGACACTCCTTCAACGTCTGAAAGGAGCACTGCTAGCAATCCTACAACAGCTGCTGATCAACCTCAGAAGAGATTTCCCAGAAGCAGTTTGGATCACCCAGAAGAGACTATCTTAGGAAGAAAGGAAGATCCAATCAGAACAAGAGCAAGCTTCAGAAACTCTGAAGAAACTCTCATGGGACTTGTGTCTCTGATTGAACCTTCTTCTATTGATGAAGCACTTCTGGATAATGACTGGATTCTGGCAATGCAAGAAGAGCTGAATCAATTCACCAGAAACGACGTATGGGATCTCGTTCCCAGACCAAAAGGATTCAACGTCATTGGAACAAGATGGGTGTTCAGAAACAAGCTAAATGAACAAGGTGAAGTCATCAGAAACAAGGCACGACTGGTTGCACAAGGTTATAGTCAGCAAGAGGGGATAGACTACAGAAACCTTTGCCCCAGTCGTCAGGTTAGAATCTATCAGACTTTTAATTTCATTTGCTGTTAATAGAGGCATCACTCTGTATCAGATGGATGTCAAAAGTGCATTCTTAAATGGTTATATAGAAGAAGAAGTTTATGTACACCAACCCCCTGGTTTTGAAAATACAAAACATCCAGAACATATTTTCAAACTAAAGAAGTCACTATATGGTCTGAAACAAGCTCCCAGAGCTTGGTATGAAAGGCTAAGTAACTTTCTATTAGAAAATGAATTCACCAGAGGGAAAGTGGACACTACTCTATTCTGTAAATCAGTTAAGAATGACATCTTAGTCTGTCAAATTTATGGTGATGATATTATTTTTGGTTCTACTAATCCTTCTCTTGGAAGAAAATTTGCTAAGTGTATGCAGGCAGAATTTGAGATGAGCCTCATGGGGGAACTGAAATTCTTTCTAGGAATTCAGATCAATCAAACTCCAGAGGGAACTTACATTCATCAGAGCAAATACATCAGAGATCTTCTGAAGAAATTTGACCTTTCAGAATGTAAGCCATCAAAGATTCCAATGCATCCCACGTGCATTCTGGAAAGAGAAGAGGTAAGCAAAAATGTAGAACAGAAAGTCTACAGAGGTATGATTGGTTCTCTCCTCTATCTGACTGCTTCAAGACCTAGCATATTATTCAGTGTTTGTATCTGTGCTAGATTCCAATCAGATCCTAGAGAATCTCACTTAACAGCTGTTAAGCGAATTTTCAAGTATCTGAAAGGTACTACTAATCTGGGTTTGTTTTATAGAAAATCTAGTGATTACAGCTTAGTAGGCTACTGCGATGCTGATTTTGCTGGAGACAGAGTGGAACGTAAAAGTACTTCTGGAAGCTGCCAGTTTCTGGGAGAAAATCTGATCTCTTGGTCCAGCAAAAGGCAATCAACAATTGCGCTATCAACAGCAGAAGCTGAGTACATAGCAGCAGCAGGATGTAGCACACAAATGCTCTGGATGAAAAGTCAGCTTGAAGACTTCCAGATTTTTGAGAGTAACATTCCTATACTCTGTGATAATACTTCTGCTATTTGCTTAAGTAAGAATCCCATTTTACATTCTAAAGCTAAGCATATAGAAATAAAACATCACTTCATTAGGGACTATATTCAGAAAGGTATTTTGAACTTAAAATTTATAGATACAAACCATCAATGGGCTGATATCTTTACTAAACCCCTTTCAGAAGATAGGTTTAATTTCATTCTGAAACATCTCAGCATGAAAATCTGTCCAGAGTGAAAATGTTTTAATTCCATATATTTACCTTCAGAATGTAATTGTTTTACTGTGAACTTCTGATCAATCTTCTTTCAGAAAGATAGAACATGCAGATTGTATCAGATGCAAGTCTAAAGATCTGAGAGTCTAAGCTCAAAGACAGACGTGCTGATCACTACATCAAACAAGTGTCATCCAATCATCAGCAAATCTCTGAAGCAGAACGCGTGCACGCTTCTGAGAAGGCAAAGCGCTGATTGGGTGCATTGAGACACATGTCTGGTAACCGTTTTTAAGTATCTTTCTCAAATCCCCCAAAATCAGCAAGCATTTAATAAAAAGTAATCATGCTTTTAAAATGCAATCATGATTTTTCTCTTTCTTAAAAACGTTTATCTTTTCAAAATATTTTGAAACTCTATTTAAACACATTAATCTCTCATTCTAATTCTTTACAATTTCTCACTAATACTCAAGCATTCTCTGCATTTTTTCTGTGTTCATCTCTTGCAAAACTTTTTTTCCAGTTTCTTCTCAAAATCTTTAGCGTGAACATGGCAACCTCCAGCAGTGCTTCTGCAGGTCCTCAGAAGAAAGCATCATCTGAGCAGTATCAAGTGCCATTCAGAACACTCCTCACTCCTGTGAAGAATCTTAAAGTGTTATCTGAATTGATCATTGATTTTGGAAGCTTGAAGGAGAACGGTTTTGACCTAACTGAAGAAGTTAGGGCACAGAAGTGGGAAAGGTATTTTGACAGGTTGGTTGGACCAACATTCCCTATGTTAGTCAAGGAATTTTGGATTCATGCCAAGGCTTCAACACATCTAGTCACCTCCTTTGTTATGGGGAAGAAGATTGTGATCACTGAGGATCACATTGCAAGGTTAATTGGTTACAGTGGCGGTGGCGTCCGTTGTGTGGACATGGCTGAAAGATGTGATGATGTGGGCGTGATAGCTGCAAGGATTTTCACCCATGGGGTGCCCAGCAGCAAGATCAAAGATCTGAAGGATCATTACAGAGTTTGGGCTAAGATAATTCTGGGGTGCTTCAACCATAGGAAGCCAACTAGTTCACCTGATTACATAAATGTGGATCAGCAGTTTCTGATCTACTTTATTGATCAGAAGGTAAAAATCAACCTGGCTCATTTTCTGTTCAACCACCTCAGAACAAGTGTGAAGGAAACCAGGGAAGAAGAAAGAACCAAGAGGGATTGGATACCCTTTGGAAGGTTGATATCAGATATTCTGACAGAGAATAGGCTGATAGAGCATCTGATAGAAGCTCAAGAGCTAAGCACCATTGAACCAATAGTTGGGAAACCTCTTAACGCAAAGAACTTGAAGAAAATGAAGTTGATAGAGAATATCCAAAAGGAACCCAGAGCTACTCCTATTGCTGATATCACCAACAGAAGAGTTCCTCTGAGTGACTTTCCTTTATTTTCTGAGATAGAATCTAAACCAGAGGTGGTTCTCAGATACTTGGATGCGTGCAAGGCAGATGGCACAGATCCAAATCTGATTATCAAAGCTCTGCATCAACCTCAGCAAGAAGTGACTCTGAAGAAGACGAAGAAGAGGAAGGCACCTTCAGAAGGATCATCCCAGCAAACACCCAAGAAAAGAGGTAATTTATCTGCTGCTTCTGTTTTAAATTCTTCTACTATTCCAGCATCTATTCCTCCTCAAACCTCTCATAGAATCTCAATACCCATCCCTACCATAGATGAAACTGTACCAGAAGATGACCCTTCTGAGGCATTAAAACTCAGAAGACCCAGAACCAAACATCCCAAACCAACAATCTCAACAACATCAGCAATTGACAAAGTGCTGTCTGACATTGATCAACACACTTCTGATCAACCAAACTCTGAACCACAAATTGTCCCTCCTCCACAACCAGAACAACAGCAATCTGCTGAAGAACCAGAACAACAACAACCACTCTCATCAGTTCCAGAAGAACCCCTTATCCCTGAACAACCAGAAATTCCAACAACTTCTCCTCAACCAGCAATTCCATCTCCCTCTCCTCAACCAGAAATTAATCCACCATCACCTCAACCAGAGTTTCATCAATCTGAAACTCCTTCTCCTCAACCATCTGAACCTCATTCACCTCAACCATCACCTCTGGCAATCCAGCTGCCAGGTGGAACAACAATCACCTTGGCACAATTGCCATCCTCACCAGAATCTACACCACCAAATACTCCCAAAACACCACCCAGTCCAATCATAATTTTTTATTCTGAAACTCCATCTCCAAAACAAACTGCTGCCAAGAAAACCTCTGAAAACCCCAGCAGGACCTTCATAGACTTAACCAGTCTTGACCGTCTTGCTGATCTGAAACATAAAATTGCCATCCCAAAACCAAAACAACCAGATGTTGGCTCTGGTATTATGAATTTTGAAACATGTGTGCAGCAATGGATTGCTTCTTTGAAGCAAGTATGTCCTGGAATGATTGACCCAGCTGCTTCTGATCAGCTCTGGTCACAATTCAGACTTTGGGTACGTGCTGAAGCCCTCAAGTTGCAGGATATCAACTATGAGCAGGCACAACATAATTTCAGCAAGCTTCTGAATGAAGTTGGAAGTCAGCTTCTGAAAGAAGACGTGCTCCCTCTGGATAGTGAACCTTGGTCTGAGAAACAGCTAGCTTCAAAGGTGCAACCAGAAGAAGACAAGACCATTCAAGTTGAATAAAGTCAAGCAGAAGATGTTGCAGAAAGCTCTCAGAAGCTTCCTGCTTCTGATGCTTCTCAAGCTGCCTTGGACAGGCAGACTCTGGAAGAACTAAAGCTGAATGACATGCGTCTGCAGCAGAGGATGGATGAAAACGACCAGAAGATGAAAGAAAGAATGGATGTGCAGGATAGCAAGATTGACACTGTTGTCAGCATGGTGCACAAGCAGAATGAGACTGCTGATCAGATCAAAGCCATGCTGGAGAACCTGTTCACACGCTTACCTCCCCAACCTTAGTCTTTTTTTTCATTCATGTCTTTTTCATGTTTTCTTTGATTTTCTGATGTACTATTTGAATATGTTCTGTATTATTTTCATGTTTTGATTCTGAACCTTTCAATATGACAAGTTTTTCTGATCTTAATTGTTTTAGCACTCACCTACACTTTTTGATTGCTGACAAAAAGGGGGAGAACAAGAATGATATTTTAAACAATAACGGTTAACTAAGACAGAAATTCTCAAACATTCTAACTCTATTACTTGAAAATGTTTTTTCTGTTTTGCTTAAAGTCTACAGGTACAAGGAAGCTCCTAGACACTCTGAAGACTAAAAGCTATGAAGCTTTGATCACTATGAAGCTCTGATCCGCTCTGAGACTCTGATCCAAAGCAAAGCTCTGACAAGAAAAGCTCTGATACGCTGATCTGAAGCTCTGCTCTGATATGCTGATCCAAAGCTTCTGATAGTCAAAGACTCTGATACTCTGATGTTCAAAGAAAGGCAAAAAAGATTTGATCCTGAAGAACACTTGTAATCAAAGGGAAGTAATAAACTCAGGGGGAGTATCTCTCAACTCTGATATCTTTTTACTCCTTATCTTTTTACCTCTTACTCTGATGCATCTCTCTGATACCTTTTCACATTATTTTCATTTAAAAATATCTAGTTTTTGTCATCATCAAAAAGGGGGAGATTGTTAGAACAAAGTTTGAATCTACTACCCTATATTTAAGTTTTGATGATAACAAAGTGAAAAGATATATTATGTATATGATTCATGTATGAACTATCTGCTGCCTAAAATTATTATGTTCTGACTTGCAGATACTCTGATTGATATAAGCAAGATCACACCTTATCAGCATCAGAATTTGGTTTCTGACATCAGCATCAGAAGTTGCCATATCAGAATGTCAGAATCAGATGATCAACTCACGTACATGCTGAAGCCTGATGAACAAGACTGCGCTCAACACTCTGATAAAGAAACACAACAGTTCATCAGCAGCTAAGCAGAGTCAAAATGAGCCAAGCCAGAACTTGCATTAAGTAAGCAACGGTACTGTGCATTGAAAGCAAATTAATACCAACGGCCTCATTCCAGACAAGATCTGCTCGATAAGGAAAGTTTGTTATTAGCATTGAATCAAGAATATTGCATCCAACGTTCAACATCTCAGTGCTATATAAACAAGACTTTGAAGATTGAAATGGCTAATGCTCTCCAAATCTTTACACGCATAAAAGCTGATCAAAATCTTCTTTCTCTCAGTTTTGCTAAACACTACACATTCTGATATTCTATCATTGTTTAGCAATCTAGTTTCTAAGCTTTAATTTGTGTATACATCACAGTTGTGATACAGTTTTGTAGAAAACATTCACACACTAAGATTTGATTTCTTTGTAAGAAAGTGTTTCCTTGACAAACCGGGTTGTGGTTTGCATCAAGAAGGCTTTAGCAGTTGTTAAAGCAGTCTGTAATATTCAGTTGAATATAGTGGATTAAGACCTCGTTGGAGGGAGGCGAAATCACCTTGACGGGTGGACTGGAGTAGTTTGAGATCAAACGAACCAGGATAAAAATATCTTGTTCATTGCATTAGATTTCAGTTTTACAATTCAACCCCCCCTTCTTGTGATTTTCACTACTTCACAGGGTTGAAATTGTCTGCCTAGTGGATACTCCTCTCGTGGTACTCTCGTGCATAAAAATATTTTTGGGCTCTACACCTCGGTTCCCTCCGAGACCATCGGCGAGGAACCTTAGTTGGATTTTACTCGGGGCTACCTAAGAGCATTCTCAAATCCATGAGGAACCCCAAACATCCCGATTCACATTTGAACAAGGGCTTCTAGCAAATCTGAAAGACATTCCCGGGCTACTACAGGCTCATACAAAACAAATTAACAGCATCATGGAGGATTAAGGCCTCTCTTCTGAACTGATCACTACGGTTCTTGTCAGAACCACGTGAACAAGGGGCTACCAGACATCCATAATCCTCTTACAAACACGCAAGGAGGAAACAACATACAAAATAAAACAAAAACGAAACTAACGACTAGGAAACTTAAAGCCCATAGGGCGATTGTCTGGACAGGCAAAATATTTAAGGACATTACAAAATGCACCCACTTAAAAAGGGTGACTAACAAATTGTTCAAGACAAATAAAATGGAGCCTAAGATCACTTAGTCACTTCGGCCAGAGAAGCATCATTCCCATCTAGACCATCGATGACCGGGGACCCATCAACATCCTCCACATCCATCAGCTTGCCATCCACGATACTCTTGAAGAAATCCACAGAAGAAATATCCAAGGTTGGATAAAGACAGATCATCTGATCTTTCGCCCCGTCAAAAGCCATATCCCCGACATTAAACGCATCCATATGAGACCTCTCCAAAGATTGTTGCAGGTCAGCATAAGACTTCTTCGCCACGTCCAACTTCTTGGAGAGCTTGGATTCAAAATCCTGGAGATCTTCACAACTTTTGGTGAGGGTCTTAGTATTTGAAACTTCAGTAACTAGACTCTTCTCCAAAGCAGAAACTTTATCTACATATGACTTCTCATTGTCTGTCAACCGGTCGACGTCCTTCTGCAGATTGACACATCGATCCTCTAAGTCATCCCTTGATCCAAATAGTCCTTGGGCCAGCACAACATAATGCATCAGATAAGGACTCAAATGATGAGTAATCAATCTTCTGGCGTCTGATACTCTTCACCTTGTTAACATCCTCGGTAGCGTTGAGGTGGTCATAAAGGAACTTCAGCTCATCAAAACTATTAGACCAAAATTTATTCTCATTTGAAGGACGGGTGGAGCCTTCTCCAGGCTCCTGCATCAACGGCGAGATCTCCTGGTCCTCCCTACAAACCTCATCCTCCATCATCTCTTCAACTTTTTTCGGGGTTATTCAATAGTGTCCTCAATGGCCGGAATGACTTTGGCCGGTGACTGGGGCTTGCTGATCACAACGCCAGGCCTCGGGACGGTCCCTTTCTTCTTCTTCGACGTCCTGAGCTCCAGACCGAAAAGATCGAACTTAGCCTCTAAAGGGCCCTCAGTTCCTTGCCGAGAAGCACGGAGTGCGACCATCAGTTTCTTTTGCTCTCTAACGGAAAGGTCAATCATCTTATCTGTAAAAGACATTAAAAGAATGAATGAGAAAAGGAAAAGATTTGTGATCGGCGACCAATTAAAAAGAATCTTACCCAAGAAATTCGAAACCTCTTCAACAGAAAAAGGCAACAGGTCCTTGACCTTGAAGAAACTGAAAGAATCTAGCAATTGCAAAGATTGAACCTCAAGATCACTCAGCTTATCGTAGTTAAACCCAGATATGGGTAGAGGGTTTCCAGTCCAATATAATGGAAACTTGGGATGGTTGTCGGTGACATAGAGGACCCGGGGACATCTCGGGCCACAACCAATATGTAGGAACCGGTCCTTAAAATCTTTATAATTCATGGTGTAAGCTTGAAGGAAGATCCTACGAGGAACACTAGTGATGGCAACCCAACTCCCAAATTCTATATTCTTGACTTCAAAATAAGAAGAAAAAAAACAGACCAATGGTAGGAGTCACATCCAACACTTCACAAATCATTTCAAAAGCCTTGATAAAGCCCCAACTGTTAGGGCGAAGTTGAGAAGGGGCTACGTTCACCGTCTTCAGCACATCCACTTCAAAATCAATAAAAGGAATACGTATAAACATATCTTCCAACACTCTGGCGTAGAAATAAAACCACTCGTCTTGTACTCCATTTGGTCGGGACATACAAACTCGTTTGCCAGGGATGCATGCCCCCCAGGACCACATGTCCTCATTCCCAATCGAGGACACCTTTCGTAGAGAGCGAAGCTTCGCTATCTCCACCTCATTCATGGAGATTTGATCATAACCCATCACCTCCCCACTAAAGGAGACGGAAGTTTCCATCAAGACCTCTACGGAACCTGAAGAATCGGGGTCAGAATCACTTTCAGAAGTAAAAATTTCACTATAAACTTTACTCATGACTCGTGCGTACTCATCTACACCTAAAGCAGTTCTCATCTCTTGCATGCACTCCTCCCATATGACTCTCTGCTCCTCATCATTGTTGCGTCTTTTATTTCCAAAATCATCACACTCTTTGATGATAACCATCCCTAAAGAAATAAAATGTGCAGAAAAATAAGGTAAAAGGGAGAGAAGAAATACCTAATAACAATGGTCAATTGAGAGATTTCGAAAGAAACGAACGAGGTTTTTTATAATAGAAAAGTTATGGGAAATGAAACGCTCAGAGAAGAAGAAGCGTGTATAAACATTCAAAGTTGGCATCATCAATGATTGCGCCTAGGGGACTAGAGGACTGTTGAGAAACTAGGGCGTGGGTAACACGCACGCCGAGGTATCATCATCCGATCTTGGAGAATCATCCCGGAGCATAGAATTCATTTCTACGTTGATTGAGTATAAGGCTTCAGATAAAAGACATATGCTCGTGGGGCTTATGTTCATACATAGATTTATTGTCCGAGCTAGATGAGATAAAAGGCAAGGCGTAGTTGTTAGGCCAGGGAAAACATGTAGGCAATTAGTCGGTTACCACCCCAGATCGAGTCCACGGGGCCTAAATTGGGTTGTGTGATCGGAGGATCGTGTAATCGGACGTGGGAGAAGTTGAAGAGGTAGCTGTCAGGCTCATACCCTGGATCTAGAGGTTACCCCGTGCTCGGCCTTAATGGAGTCGTTACGCAATGGCTGGCACATTAAGGGCGTAACCGCTCATCATTATACGACGACGCACGTTATGATAATAGCCATCATTAGCGCGGAGGGCGTTACTTGTCTTAAAGACAACAGAGTTACGTAATATGGAAAGTTACGGCAGTCGGGAGCCCTATTCATTGAGGTCCGTGCACCTCTATAAATAGGGCTCCCGATTGAGGGGTAAGCAAGACGCGTCGCTTGGAGCTCACGCACACTTGTGTATGCCTCTGAATCTCTTAACATAATATACAAAGTAATTTCTTTCATTAGAGACCTTCCCTAAAGCCCATAGGTTTGCAGGGAAGTCGTCCTTGGTGTTCAACAAGAACAGAAAGCAACACATGTTTTTTTTTTGTTTTTGAATAAGGCTAGCAAAGTTAAAATGTAAACAAGCATAGATGTAAAAAGAAACACAGAGGGTGCTTGGTGATCACCCACAAAAGTTAAACAAAATGGGTAAAAGATAAGGATAAAGAAGATCTAACCATTCGGAAGCTCATACTTGATATAAAGAAATCAATATAGCATTCTCATCCTTTTGGATTTAAAGCAACAAGCGGATAAATAAAGCCAAGAGTATACCAAATGTCAAGTGAAAATAAATCACAGGCAGACAACATCAAAGAAACCCAAGGCATCAGATAATACTCAAAGCAACGGGCAAAGCACATCAGGTGAAAATAAATCACAAACGGGAAAATTGCAACATGTAAGCTCAAAGTATAAGGTAAAGCACAATGCATCAGATAAAAGTCACTGTATCGGGTAAGGCTCAAAAAGACAAACGAAATCAGTATAGCAGAGAAATAAATCTGAACATCTCATATAAAATAAGAATCGAATCCAAACGGACCATAAACATGTATCAAAGCTAAAACGAAACAAAGGAAATATGGAATGGATGTTTGATCAATTAATTAAGTGTTGATTAACTTAATTAATTGAGTTAAGAAAAACTAATTAATAAAGTAATTCATTTTAATTAACTAAATCAACATCTAATTAATTAATCAAAGTGAAAAGATAAAGAAAAAGAGAGAATCAATTAGTTAAACATTGATTAAATCAATTAAATAAAGTTAAGAAAAATAGATTAGTAAACTAATCAATTTTAATTAATAAGAATCAATTAATTAAAACAATATAAAACTAATGGATTAAAGTGAAAATAGAAATCGAAAGTAGAATAGAATTGTGAGAAGAAAAGAACTTGAGAACTCTTGTAAGCTTGCACAAATCAACAAACAAGTTAGTAATCACAAGTGAATTGAAAACCAAATGAAACTTGAATCAAATTGCATGAACAAATGAATATTTATCAATCAAGAACCAAGAGAACAAGTTATTATTCAATGTAGATAGCAAAAATCAGCATTGTATTCAGCGTGCTAAACACATTCAAAATCAAGCAAACACAACGGTAAACATTGCTTTCCGATCACAAGTGACACAAGGACTAAAGATTCACATTGCAACATGAGAAATCAGGTTCAAAACAAGTTCTAATCACCTAAATCAAAATCCGGGCAACAACTATACATATGAAATAAGGCTTGATAAAATTTGTTTCAATCATGCTCAACATCAACGACAACCACATAAACAACATCCTAATCAATCAATTCAAAATTTCACACCGACTAAACTCAAAATCTTGTGTTGACATTCAAAACTATCATGCAATTTTAACATAAATGGAGGGTTATCGTCAACCAGAAACCTCCTTACTCACATTGACCTCAAACAAAAATGTAACATCATCGAAGATTTCAAACAAATATCATACCAACAACATGATCATAACAACACCAACTCAATTTTAAAACAAACGGAAAGGCGTTGACATCATAATTTTAACACAAATAAACAGCACCTTAGCCAATTTGCACATTCCACTTATAAACCAAAATCGCCATTACCTTCGACCATAATTCAAACAGATAAACAATATTTACTTCAACCACAGACTCAGTTACTTAAATCATCCCAAACTCAATTAATTCAAACTCATTCAACAAAGTCAGTCCAGAAATTACTGAAAATAGTGATGAGAAATTTTACCCACAAATGTGTCGAAGTTTTGGAACAGGGTGTTGTTGAGCTTGATTGTTGTATTAATCTTCAGCGAGAAGAAAATGAACGTTGGCAGTTGTTGTAAGTATCCGGAACAGAGCGGAACAGTGAGTTGGCGTGATGTTTGGTTGAGTCACAGTGAAAGTCTGTAACCGATGAGAGGAAAGTATTGAGGAAGATGGAATTTGTGTGGTGATGGAGCGATGAAAAAGAACGGAAAGATGAAAGCTGGGGATAAGCTTGAAGAAGAAAAGGAATTCGTATTGGATGATAGAGATTTGAAGGGAGTACGGAGCGATGAAGAGGAAACTTTTTCTTGGGCACAGCTTTTCCTGTTCTTCTTCTCGATCCCCTTTCTCTAATATCCACCCTTGCCTTATCTAACCAATAGGTTTTACACAAATACCAATAAGCCCTTGCTCTAAATATTTTATAATATTAACAACAATTATATAGTACACTTTTTTTTTAATTATAGTTTTTTTTTTTATAATAATCAAAATTAATTAAATTAATTAAAAATATACATAAAAATGCCCTTTTTTATATACAAATTTTTTTATTAATCTAAAATTAAATTTAAACTAAAAACTTAATTAAATAAAACAGATATATTTTTTTATATTTTTAAATGACAATAAATAAAATAAATCAACAAAAATCTAATTTTAAAATTATTCTAAAAACAAAAGAATTTATATAGGGATAAAAAATTCAGATCACATACAAAATGCGCGTAAAAATACAAATATGCAAATAAAAATTCATTTGATATAAACAACACAAATGAGAAAATTCAGAGTAAAATTTGGAGTGCAACAAAGAGCCATGGACATCCTAAAAGATTGTTGTTTCAACGATCAAGTCTTGTCTGATGGTGTTACTTGTCAAGAATCTCTAACTTTTGTTTAGATTGCCCTGGCGAATTTTCAATCTACTGAGACAATTTATTCTATTTATGTCTTTAACTTTTGACTGGATCGCTCTTTCAGGTTTTCAGCCCACTGAGACGCTCATTTTTGCCTAAGTCGTTGTTTCGGGTTTTCAACTTAGTGAGTTGATCTTTTATTTCTTTAGGAGAAGTATTTCTTGACTGCATCAGCATTCACGGGACGTGAGAACTCTTCAACATCCATAGTTTTAAGAATCAATGCACCGCCAGAGAAGGCTTTTTTGACAACATAAGGGCCTTCGTAATTAGGAGTTCACTTGCCCCTAGAATCAGCGTTAAAAGACATGGTCTTTCTGAACACGGGGTCACTTTCTCTAAATTCACGAAATTTGACATTCTTATCAAAAGCTTTCTTCATTCTTTTCTGGTATAATTTATCATGACACAAGGCACTCATTCTCTTCTCTTCAATTAAATTCAACTGGTCAAACCTGTTCTGAAACCATTTAGCCTCTGGAAAACTTGGTTTCCATGATTACACGCAAGGAGGGAATCTCAACCTCGACGGAGAGCACTGCTTCTATACCATAAACAAGAGAGTAATGGGTTACCCCTATTGAAGTGCGGACAGATGTGCAATACCCATCCAAAGCAAAAGGGAGCATCTCATGCCAGTCCTTATATGTAACAACCATCTTTTGAATGATATTCTTAATATTCTTATTAGCAGATTCAACAACCTCATTCATCTTAGGTCTATAAGGAGAAGAGATGTGATGAGAAATCTTGAATTCTTCACAAAGCTCTTTCATCATCTTATTGTTCAAATTTAAGCCATTATCAGTGATAATCCTGCTTGGTACACCATATCGACAGATAATATGGTTCTTAATAAACCGCACCACCACCTGCTTGGTCACATTAGCATAAGAAAGTACCTCTACCCACTTGGTGAAGTAATCAATTGGCACTAATATGAAATGATGTTTATTTGAGGCCTTTGGTTAAATCATCCTGATCATATCAATACCCTGCATGGAGAAAGGTCATGGGGAAGAAATAACATTGAGAAGAGTTGGAGGCACATGAATCATATCATTATAAATCTAACACTTATGGCACTTTTTCGCAAACTTGTAACAGTCAGATTCCATTGTCAACCAATAGTAACCTTCTCTAAGCATCTTCTTTGCCATTGAATGTCCATTGGCATGGGTACCAAATGAACTTTTATGGATCTCATGCATTAACATGTCTGCTTCGTGTCTATCCACACATCTGAGCAAGACCATGTCGTAATTTGTTTTGTATAACACATCTTCATTGAGGAAGAAGCTACATGACAACCTTCTAAATATCTTCCTATCTTTATTTAATGCCCCAAGTGGGTAATCTTGAGTCTGAAGAAAATGTTTGATATCATAATACCAAGGCTTATCATCTGATGTCACCTTTGCAGCAAATACATGAGCTGGCCTATCAAGACGCCTGATTGTAATATGATGTGCTTCATTTGGGAAATTTACCTTGTATATAGAGGACAAAGTGGCTAAAGAATCTGCCATCAGATTTTTGTCTCGAGAAATGTGATGGAATTCAACTTTATTGAAGAAAGGTAATAACCTTCTCGCATAATCTTTTTAGGGAATTAAGCTAGGGTGACGAGTCTCCCATTCACTTTTAATCTAATTTATCACTAAAGTTGGATCACCGTATACATCAAGAATCTTGATTCTGAGATTCATAGCTTCTTTAAGACCCATAATACAAGCTTCATACTCCTCCATGTTATTGGTACAATCTGTAACACCCCGTTTTTGATTAAATGTTAATTCGGTTATTTGAAGTAAAAATATTCATAATGATAAAAATACTATTTTGAGTAATATTAATTTGGTGTGTAGTAATATTGGCTTTGTTTGATTAATTGACATGATTAGGTTTATATAGAATAAATATTATTTAATGTAATATTGTTTAATAGGGTTATATATTATAATTTGAATTAAATAATTGTTGGGGCCAAATTACAATTTTAGAAAGATAGAGGGAGGAAAGTTAGTAGTAGAAAGAGAGTTTTATAAAATAGAAAAAGGAGAAGTTAGTAAGGGTAGAGGAAGAAGAAAAGAAGAGAGGAGAAAGAAGAAAGAAAAGAGGAGAAGAGAAGAAAGGAAGCTAGGGTGGAGTTACAACATCTTCATTATCTTGTTTCAAGAAAACCCACACCAAGGTAAGGGGTTTGATTCTCCATCTCATATTGTTAGGTTTTTGTATGATATATTTTGGATTTAGGGGTAAAAATTGATAGTTGATTTTTTTAGGGTTTTGTTGGTTGATTGTTAGAATGGTTTAGAAAAGTTGGATTAGGAGTATGGTTTGTGGGTGTATTAAGTGCTAGCTTGTGGAAATTAAGAGTATTGAAATGGGAAAGAAAACCATGGTAGTTGAATGAGAAAAACTCAAAAGAGTGGAGTTTTCACGCAGGCCTCACAACACGGGCCGTGTTGCAGCACACGGGTGCCCGTGTTGCTGCTCTGACTTGGCATTTCTTGGCTCGTTCTGGTGGCCTCTCAACACGGGCCGTGTTGCAGCACACGGGTGCCCGTGTTGATACGTCTGTAGCCTCCAAAATTCTAATTTTCGCACTTCCTTTAGAACCCGTTTGTGTTCCGATTTCGGTAGATTCGTCGACGGAGCAAGTTGCTCCGAATCCAAAGAAAATTGACGTGCTAGTGTAATCCGACGTGTAGCTTGACGTAGTGAAGTTCGTCTTGCGAAATTTCGACTTTTAAGAATCGACCCGATTTTAGTGCGAATGAAATAAGTTGAGTTTAATCCCGAATCTAACCGTTCGAGTTACATTCCGGTGACTCGATCGCGATGAGAAACATTGAGAATAATGCCGATTCATTGATAATGACTTTATGTTGAAATATACTTTCCGATTTGGAATTGTTGATAGTTGATGGTTTATGTTTTGGTTGAGTAAGTAATCTTGTTTGTATACATTTTACTTGACGTTGAGATTGATAAATTATATGTATGCATGCATGTACAATAGTTGATGTTCCATTGGTTGGATTTGATGGCATGTGTATGTTAAGATCATTGTGAGTCTAATTGCATGCATTGGTTATATTGTACATTGCATGGCATGGTGGTCTTGAAACAGAGACGGTGGAACTTTGGGTCCACAATATCTAGACGGTGACCCTATTGTGGGAAAAGACGTAGTGACCTTGATCCGGAAGGGAAATACAGGTGGTGGAACTTTGGGTCCACAATATCTAGACGGTGACCCTATTGTGGGAAAAGACGTAATGACCTTGATCCGGAAGGGAAATACAGGTGGTGGAACTTTGGGTCCACAATATCTAGATGGTGACCCTATTGTGGGAAAAGACGTAGTGACCTTGATCCGGAATGGAAACATAGGTGGTGGAACTTTGGGTCCACGAGTCGGTACCGCATTTGCATACGTTGGGTCGTGTTGTGAGTCACATGTATAATTGTGCATGATATGTATGTGTGTTGATGTGTTTGATTATGTGCCAATATTGTTGTTGTTTGAATTATGGTTATGTGCCAAGGATGTGAGTATTCGGATAATCGGTTTACATGGTTAATGTGTTGGAAATGGACTCCTTGAGTAAGGATGCTACAAGTGATAAAATGAACATGATCATTATGTATTGCTTTAATTATTGCCATTTCATTTACTTAAAATTATATGTTATATGATTATTGGAATTCTTACCCTTTTGTTGGCCAATGCTTTTGATGGCATTGTGCAGGTACCGATGACGGTAGCGCGAGGCGCTAGCTAACGGATGCATTGGATTGCAATCTGTTTTATTTGATTAGAGTCGAGTCGATGCTCTGGTAGTAACACATGGGGGGGGGGGGGGAATTTATTAGTGTCGAACTCGATTATTTTGTATTTGGATTATGATGTATATAATCCTTATTCGTGTATATGATGTTTTGTATATGTGAGACTTGATAACATATGCTTATGTGAATTATGATGGCTTGATGCCTTGAATTATGTTTTGATTCCTCCATAAACGGAGATGATGTGAAATTATGAAACTCCGTTGCGTTTGCACGAGAGAATGAAGTAAATATTTATAGTATGTTTGTTTTGTGTTGGAATGCTTATACTTTCAAACATACCCTGTCTGTTTTTCCTTAAAAACTTTGGAATGTGATGTGTGTTGTGGCATCCCTTCCGTGCAATTTTATTTCTCTGATTTTAATCTTTACCTTTAATTTGGGTATTTAGAAGGGGCGTTACAATAGTGGTATCAGAGCAGGTCGGTCTATCGGCCAGGTTGTTTATGTGTCTAATCCCTTTTGGTACGCGACATGTGTGTGAAACACTGTCGGTACTTGTTTGTTTCCTTTTCGTTGTCTGCAGAGGTACGTGTGAAATAAGTGGGGGAGAAGTTTCTTCTCTGAAGTTTTGTGCAAGAGGTTGGTTCAGTATACCGCCGATTATAAGATGTAAGTAGTTTCGAAC